AGAGGGGGGGGGGGGGGAGTAATTGGCGAATGCACCACAATCTTTGCAATTCGTCGTAGGAAATAAGGTAGAAATATTTCATTTCATTAATCATCCATGTACAAACTTATAAATGAAATTTTAGATCATATATGGTTTTCAATGATCTCCAATTTTCCCTTGGTAGAGGGCTTTTGTAAAGTATAACTATGTTGTGGTTCTTGGGTTGGGAAATGGAGGCTTTGCTTCTCTTGGTTGTTAGCAGTCAAATCAGTTAGATAGTGATATATGGTCCAACATTAGGTGCCAAATTAAGAACTAACATCTAAATTAGGTAGCCATTTATAAGTGATAATGATTTGCGTTGTGGATCATTGCAATTGTATTTATTTGCTCACCTCACACCACTCTCGATTCGGATCTAACAAGTAAGTAAATATTTGTATAAAATTGAGGAAAGTAGTCACGGGCTTAGTCTTAAAATGCATGTGAAGGGGAGGAAATGTCAAAATATTCCTTTCTAACCCTGCTTCTCTTTTAAACCAATCAAAGGGATTAAAATTTGAAATCACAAAGAGTCATGACGTACACAAATACACTTATTATTAACGTCAATATTAAGGGTATGCAAAAACTTTAAAGGACAAATAATATGAATCATATAGATTATTTGATATCATAGTTGGGCACCTGAATTTGAGGTACTCCACAACCATATAAGGGACATGCCATGATTTGGTCAACATGGTCTGACCTCTGCCTTCTAAGCCCTTGTTTATTTAGGCAAATATTACATAAGTTAATTGAATGATCCATTCACTATTTTCGTTCAACATTACAAAAAACTGGACATTGTTGGCCACAACTCTTTTGTGTAATTGTTTACCCTCGAAATCGGATAACAATTGAATTTACACGCGATTTTAACAATACGTGATCTAACTTGATACAAATTGAGAAATCAGATTAATATTGAAATTAATGATAGAAAAGTAAATACAAACCACACAAGTTCGACAATCTTGGCCTTAAAGGAAGGTCACCCTAGAGTCAAATGTACCTTAATCGATACCGAAACAGAATGATAAGATACTAAGAACTAATAACAGCAGTACATTGCTTTTGGATGTGTGTTACAATGTGTATTAAAAAGAATCATACCCACTTTATATAGTAGGAAAGTCCTACTTTAGATAAAATTCTATAAAAGGTAAGAAATCTCACGATTTGCTAATTAATTAGTCTCACATTGATACATGTCGAGATTCCCACCGTGATATCCGACCGGTTGCAGATATTTTGGCCTTCCGTTATTGGGTCCGATAATGTTTCCTCGAGCTTATTCGGAGTCGGGGCCGGTTCCGGAATCACGGGCTTGAAGATCTTGAAGACGTATGTTCTGACTTCGTACTTTGGTTCGATGGAATCTGGGGTCGATATTTAATCCATCACGTTTCGGTCCCGATCCGCCATGCAATAGATGAGCCCGGTTTCGACCGTACACATATAATCCCCTCATTTTTCGGAGAGTAAACGACGAGAAATGATATGAGCCCTCGATCCTCGTCTCGATACTTCGCGCCCGAAACGATAAAATTGACAAAACGTCTCGTTAGTCACGTCTTGATGGCATTAAATGTTCGCCAGCTGCTGGTTAGCCCTTACAGGTTTTAAATCGTCATTTGCAAACTATAAATACCTCCTCATCATCTCTTTAAACTTTACTTTCAAAAACCTATGCCCTCGTACATTAGAAATCTCTATATTCCCAAACATCAATTTTCTGATTACTCTGAAATCATCTTATAAGAACTTTTGTTCTTTATCTCAAATTATCAAGCATATTCTTTAAACTCCCTCTTCTCCCTTAACTTTCCTAAAAGAATGGCGAAGACCTCAAAGTTTGTTCCTCAAAAAGAAGCTTCCACTACCCCGCAGCCGGCTGAATAGGAAAATGTTCCATCTGCTGCTATTGAGGAAAAGACACTGAAGCCCCCTTGAAGATGTACATTTCTACAGGGTGCCCAACCAGTGCTGATTTCAAGGTCGAGAAAACCTCTTCCGTACCAGGTCGGTGTGAGCCGGTCTCGAGATATATATGCTCGATCAATGACAGTCTCCTCTCCAAAGTCAAGGAAGATTGCAATTGGGTTGGTAAGCATGTGGTGGTGCCTACGCCCGAGGAATCGATTACTACCCACGTAGAGGGTTTTCTAAGTGTTTGCACTTATCCCCTCATACTGGGCCCTTTGGACTTGGTCATCATCGCCTTCTGTAAGAGGTACGAGGTAACCCTCGGTCAAATTCATCCCTCTTTCTTGAGGATAATAATTCTTCTTCGCTTCTTCGTAAGCAAAATTGAGAAGTCTCCTTTCACTATCGATCATCTCATGCGTTTGTATAGTCCCCAACTCTATCGAGGGGGATTAATAAAACTTGCCCGTCGGGCCAGTAAGGCCCCATTCTCGAGCATAGACAAGAATCGTGACTAAGGCTGATTGGGCATGTTCGTTTGAGTGAAGACCTCGAACTTGATCCCGACCGAGGACATGCCATTTCCTGAGAAATGGAACATGAAACGTAAGTATAACCTTGCCTTTAAGATTTTGCTTATTGTTTTTCCCTTTCCTCCCTTCTTATCGATGTTTTATGGTGCAGCTGTTTCCCGAATTCCAGATGCAGTTCTTATCATGTCATAGAATCCCTATTCCGGGTGCGTGTGGCGCGAACTTTCGAAGGGCCGGTAGTAGGCCCATTCCCACAGTGAGATTCCTCTGTTGAATGCATAACACTTAGTTGTCTTGCCACACTCCTTCTCATTTTTTCTTCTTTTGTAAGTTTTCCCAAAGATGTAGAAATGAGGCCTCCATTTGGTGATGAAGACATCCTCCCTGAACCATCTACTCCGAGGTAGGATATAGAGAAAAAAAGAAAAAGGGCTCCGAGTTCCCCGTACTCGGAGAAGAAAAAACCGAAAAGGAGGCTGGTGCGTAAGTCCAAGGAGAGTACCAGCGGCCGAGAGGTTCTATTGGACTCACTGAGTCGACTGAGGGATGAGTCTGATGACGAAGAAGAAGAAGCTTCTGAGCTGATGACCCGCGTGAGAAGCGGTATCAAATTGTCTCGAGCCAGGGTGGCCGATGAAGAGGTAGTGTTCGAAGCCTCCGAACCAGGGAGGGACGAGGAGATCACGGCCGGTACTCCTCGAGTAGATGAAAGTGCCCCAAAGGATGCACTTAGGGTGATATATCTTTCTGGGTTGCCATTATTTACCGACTCCATGATCAACGAGGCCTATACGCTGAAAGAACGCTCAAACGAAGGGCTTCTAGGGGCGACAGATTCTTTCAACAACTTCTTCAATGGCTTAGATTTTACTGCCTCAGAGGATGTCACCGGGTTGGGTGAACCAACGGGTCCTCTTCAAGTCTGAGATTAGTGGACCGGTTCCCAGCTCCAAGTGCAGATTCTGAATGGAAGCGGTCAATCATTTTGTCAATTTCGGAGGATGCCCGGGTTCTCTCCGCCACTGTGGAGATTGCCAGCTATCTTTGGTGCTTGGTGACCGAAGAGGACCAAGCCAAGATAGACGATGTGTAGGCGCCCTGCCTGTTCAACAAAGCTCAACGGGCGTTAAATCGGGTAATTTCGAATGCCTCTTTATTATGTACTTAGATTTAAGTTGCAAACAATCGTAACATTTCTCTTTGTGCTTGTAGGCCTCGGTGCTTCACCATGAAACTTTTCTCCGATATTGGGAGGATTTAACCCAACACGCGGCTGAGACTCGAGAGCTTACTGAGAAGAGGGACGCTTACAAGCTTCTTAGTAAGAAACTCCAGGC